GTGTGTGTGTGTGTGTGTGTGTGTGTGTGTGTGTGTGTGTGTGTGTGTGTGTGTGTGTGTGTGTGTGTGTGTGTGTGTGTGTGTGTGTGCGTTCTATTGTCCTCCTCTACTTCACCTCTCCTCAAGCGACATTAGGAAAAGAACCAAAAAGAAAAAGATCGATCGCCCAGGAGAAGAGGGAGAGGCTATCTGGTGGGAACTGGAGTAATAGGGGAGAATCGAAAAATAACAGAAAGGACGAACTGCCCCATGTATGGCCCGACTCGGACTGGGACTTTGCTGGATGTATATGACCGGAATTACAGCCTCACCTGGATTTATCTGACAGCAATTACCATCTAGAGCTCGGTCGAAAAAGTCCTGGTGTGGATACCCTCCAAGGATACATAACGTATTAGAAAGAGGCGAGTGTTTCGCTCTACCATGTACCGCCCTCGCTGCCTCCTCGTCTGTTGCTGAGTTGGCCGGCAAAGTTACTGAATTGGCCGGTAAAAGATGCTGAATTGGCGGTTAAAAGTTGCTGAGTTGACGGGTAAAAATTGCCCGAGTTGGCGGGTAAAAGTTGATCACCTGGCAGGTAATTAATCATATATATATGGCGCATATGCCCCTGGCGGGTACACGTTGGTGAGTCGGCGGGTAATCAATCATTCTGTGGTGCGTGGCGCGTGTTCTCCTCCCTCCATAATCAATCATCCTGCTTCATGACAGGACGGATAAATACGACGGATGGCCTTTTCCCGAATACAACGCACCCCGATTATGACTGTGTACAAGCCATCTTTCCGCTCTGGTGGAGTCATCATGAGAATGCGTTGTGCTCAGGGGGCCGGGGGGGGGGAGGGAATGGCCGGAAGACGGCCGCGATCGCGACTCCCCCCGATAATGAACGGCGGAATTTCGAGGCCGGCACAGTCGGCAAATTGCATCGACCAGTAAACGTCCAAGTACCGCTCGTGCACTTGCGCGTCTTCATGTCCGGGCGCATTTCTGACAGGAATCTTTGAAAAAATCGCGCCTGCGTCGTCGACTAAGCAGAGTTTTTGAGTGGCACAATCGCGCGCCCTTTCTCTCGTTCCACAGTATTTTTCTTTTACATATTATTATATTATAGTAGTTTTTTTTACATATTGTAGTATTTTCTTTTACATTAGAGTATTTCTCTTTCACATATTACAGTATTATATCCTATAATAGTACTGTAATACTGGATACCTGCAGCGTGGAATTTTCTCTTTTCCCGCCGTACAGGGCCGAAAATATACATGGAAGGGAAAATTAACTTGTAAACAGAAGATCGTGTCATCCTAGCCGGCGCCGGAAGGAAAAGAACTACCGGTAGCAAGTCCTCTGGGACATCCGTTAATGTTGAAACGATACAGAGAGAGAAGATTAGCATATGGCCTCTGTGTACAAGTACACAGAACGACAAGCATGAATCGATAAAAGAAGTGACAACTTCTCTTTGGTTTGTGAGCAATTATATAACACCTCTGTTCCATGAGAACCGTTTGATACTCCATCGACGAATCCTCCAATGTTTCCAAAAATAGAATCGCCTAACAAATCAACATGGAAATCCATCGATCAACGTCAATCAATCAGCCACGCGACCAGCCAATCAATCAGCCGATCAACCAATCGGCCAGTCATTCAGCCAATCAACCATTCAGCCAATCCACCAATCAGCTAATCACTCATCCAATCAATCAATCCGCCAATCAACCAGCCAACCAATCGAACGAGCCAGCCGACTAATTACCTAATCAAGGAGCCAATCACTCAGGCAATCAATAAGCCAAGCAATCAACCAATCACCTAGCCAATCAATTCGCTAACCAATCAAGACAATCAATTTGAAAATGAAGCAGCCAATTACCTGGTCAACGAGCCGATCGATATGCAAATCAATCAGCCAAGCAATCAGCCAAACAATCAGCCAATGAACCAGCCAATCAATTACCCAATCAATTACGGCCATACCAGGAAATTAACCAACTAACACGCGCCCTGAGCAGCCACATTTTTTCCCACTTGAGGGCCGAATCCGTTGATGCCACTTCTCCTTTGTATGCCTCCTCTTGAGGGCCGAATATGTGTTGATGTTCTTCTAAGCACGTGAACCTTCTATTTGCAAACTTGAACAAACTTCTGTCGACTTCATTCTCCTTCTAGTCCTCTTTGCAATTACGTAAGTCTTTCATTTTTTTTGGTAAATTTCCCTCGTTTCACTCCCAGACCAAAGTCCTTGATGCCAGTTCTCCTTTTGATTACTTCTTTTCCACGCTCCACCTCCCCGCTAAGTACCATAAATTAAATCTCCTCTTAGTAAATTGATTCCTCCTCCTCCTCCTCCTCCTCCTTTTCGATTAAGGACTCGGTTGCCTTTTCAGGAGACATCACTTGCGTAGCTGATGTCTTCATTTGTCACACAGTTTGCCCTGCTCAGAGTTGCGAAAAGATCGAACTACCTTCCTTCTCAATTCTCTCCTTTTATTTCCCCCCCGGGGGGAACCGGGGGGGAACCGGGGGGGAACCGGGGGAGAACCGGGGGAAGATGGTTGCGGGTCGGGTCTTGGTTGCCCTCCTGGAGGGCTACCATCTCACGGTTCATGTCAGAATTGCACCTGAACATGAGGACGTCCAGGTGCATGATCAGAAGGAAGCTTCCGCACCTTAAGAGAGAAAAAAAATCAACGTAAAATCGTTTGCCAAACCACAAAACGACTGCACGCAGACGTGAAGACGTCCAAGTGCATGATCGTACACCGCAAAATCTTTACTCGACGTAATGTTTTCTTTTTTATTGGCTGTGAATTGCCTTGCTGGAGTAATTGATCGACTGGCCACCTGGCGTGGGCAGCCCAGGTGAGAGACTGAATGGCTCTGGCTGGGCCAGCTGACAGGCTGTCAAGCTGGTCTGGCGGGAGATGAGCCACTCGCAATCTGACACGTGTCACGAGAAGACAGATTCTTCGTCTGGATGCCTGCCGTCTTCCCCCGAGCACAACGCACCCTCGTCATGAGGGCACCGGACCAAGAAATATGCATGTATACGTTGACGATCGGGGTGCATTGTGTTCGGGGGAAGGCGGTAGCCCGACTGCTGCATGCAAGCAGGCGAAGCCGAGACGCAGACACGGACCCTATACCGTCTTTCCCCGGCCACACCGCAACCCGATCCCGATCATCAATGCATAAATCCAATATTTCGGGAAAGTGAAGCACCCCGATCACCAATGTACAAATACAATATTTCGGTGCAGTACAGCAAGCTTCTGTGAGGGAAAGAGGAAGATGGAGCGAGAGACTTTAAACCGGATTCAAAAGGGACAGGAAGGCGGACGACTACACACCTCCACAAAATGCTTGAAAGGGTATACGGGAGGGAGAGAGGAGGTGATGAGAGAGGCAGATGCTTCTTGCTTGCTTGCTTGCTTGCTTGCTTGCTCGCTTGCTCGCTTACTTGCTTACCATCGGTGGGGACCTTAGCTCTCCTCTGTCTCTATACAAGGCCCTTGCCGTGCTGGCGCAGCAGGAGTACTTCGATCTGACGGTCGTCGCAGCAGTAGACTGCAGAGCCTGACACGTCAGCTCTGACTTGCCCAATGACGTGGCAGCTTTCGTCACCAGACCTGACAAGCTGGCAGCTCGTCCCGCCATCTCCGCTGCCGCCATATGGATCTCCGTCCGCCTTCCTCTTCCACCCCGCGCGCGCGCGCTTGCTCCTCAGGCCCGCGCCGTTGCTGTTGCTGCCCGCGCCGTCTGTCTTCTCCTCCCCGGTAGTCTTGTCCACCCTGCCTTCTGTACCTTTCTCACTCACAGCAGGAAAGGGCCCCTCCCCACACGAACTGGCTCATGCGTCCGGACCCCACACGACGTCGAGGAGCTGCCGTCGTATTTTTTTCCTAAGAGTTTTCCTAAAATTCCTAAGCCCGCGCAAATTCTCGGGTTGGCCGCTGGCCCTACCCCGCTCAGCCCTCGCAAAATCACACAAACGAAGCCCCACGCAAAATCTTGAGCTGACCGCTGGCCCCACGCAAAATCTTGAGCTGACCGCTGGCCCCGCTCGGCGTTGAAGTCGGGGACAGCGTGTCGGGAACGTGTCCTCTCAACCTCTGCGGCATCCGGCATTCTTCTGGTACTGCTGTAACGAATGCAATGGACGCCATCATGTCCAGATTCGTTCGAAAATACTCTGATTGAGGCTGATTATGCTACTGGTCGCCTTCACCCGTCTGCAAATGCGCCCCTTTTCTGAGGGAGCACACCGGGGCGGCCAGAGCAGAGCGGATGGCCAGGGATGAAAAGGCCGTGGGGGAAGGGGGAAAAGGGGGGGGAGGAAACGGATAAGTGGAATGGAACCATCTGGAAGCAGGATGCATTTGGGCCAGGCCCCGCGGGTGCTATCATTCTGATGAGGAAGCACGAGTCTGGGCGTCTTTTCGGCCGGATTCTTTCTTTATCAGTACGGACATAGCATCACTGGGGTGACCCTTTTGGCAGATTCGAATAATAGACTATGTGAGTTTATTCCCGAGTCTGCCCGAAGCGTCACCACTAGGTAGTAAAAGTAAACTAAGCCACTATCTTTCAGACTGACAGGCTAAGTTGTAAGAGTAACCTATATAGGTTACTTTTACAACTTGGCCTGTTGGCAGCAAAAAGAGGAGGCCACCAGACCCCCATTGGCACACAGTTCAACTCTGCATCAGCAAAAAGAGGCTCGGAGGTAGCTTTGCATATTACAAAAAGTCAGGAGTCGGGTCTGCCCTCGCTCAGACAGGTAGGTGGTCCCATTGATGAGCGAGACATCACCCGTCAAGCCCAAAACTGAACTGCCGCTCACCACGAACCCCAGCATGAAGAAGCAGTACGTAGTAGAAGAAAACAAAACCCAGTATTTACTGACACTCCCAACTTTCAGTATGAAAGATAGTGGTATAGGCTGCTTTTTACGACTTCAGAAAAGAAAACGAACAGTGACCACCATTGTATTCCCCATTCATCCTTCCCCCCCCCCCCCCCCC